AGAATTTTGATTCGGACTGTTTATCGATCGGCAGAGCTCCAGACGAAAGTGTGTATGTGTATGAAAGAGAGAGAGAGAGAGAGAGACAGAGAGAGAGAGAGAGAGAGACAGAGAGAGAGCGATAGAGCTGTGGAGCCCCACCCACTTAACGGAACACGAACCGAGTGAGCAGCCACGAAACGAAACCATTTTATTTCTGTAGTTCGTCATTGCAAATTTTCGTTAAATATTATCAATTTCCATTAAAATTTTTCCAAAAGTTTTTGCAATTTTTTTATGCTAACTCGTATTAATCTCACTCTATTTTTTATACTCTGCGTGATCAATTTTTTTAAACACATATATATATATATTTATCATTTTTTTTTTTAACGTTAAATCACGAAGGTTATAAAAATATCATGGGGAAAATAATCTCACAGGGATGTCCATGAGAAGTGTTCAAAAGTGTCCTAATCTAACTAAGAACAAACAAGCTTCTAAGATCGGTCACTTGTCTTTCGTTAGTTCGTATATTTCTTGCGTTCTTTTTTTTTTTTTTTTTTTTTTTTTTTTTGTTCAATCTATATATCCTCCGTTCTCTTTCACGTTCGCCATTGTTTGGATAGCCAATCTATTCGAAACACGTTCGAATAAACGATTACACGACGCGTAATAATCAAAATGATCGATTATTTAAAAAAGAAAAAGAAAAAAAAAAAGATCGACCGCAAACGAATATCTCTATGGAAGTGGAAGAAAAAATTACAAGATAAGAACAAAAAAAAAAAGAAAAATGGAAACAAAAGAAAAAGATCAGATACGTTAGTCTTTTTATTATTTCCTTTTGTAATTCATTTATATTAATATCGCATGGGATTTATGTTATTACTTCCCGTTAGCAAAGCTATCCAATGCGAACTAATTTCATATGGAGAACTTTTTGGCAATGTGCATTTATGACAAGCGCACCACTTCCATTAGCTGATTGGCAAACCCGTACTCACTCGAGCTTACTGTCATTACACCTATTCTGCTTCGTTATAAATATTAAACGAGTTCATACATCCATGTTCATGCATACGTAGTAAATAAATAAATAAATAAATAAATATATATATATATATATATATTCATACACATGTATAATAAATTTGTATACATATATATATCGCAATGGAAATTGTCGCAGTGTGTAGTAATGTCGTTTGATTCGTTTCTTTAGTAGCTTTCGCATTCCAGGAAAAACAGGAGAGTACATTCTCCTCGGTAGAAAAGATATGTATTTCAGACAGTGTGTAAACTCGAAAAATGTCTTCGCATTCGAGGAAAATCGTCGCGTTTCACCATATTACGGACTTACGGAATCCCTTGTCGGCTTAGAATTGTATTTTTACTTTGGATACTTTTGCACTCCCTTACTTTATTCCTTTTTGTGCGTCTTGTGAGACACATATATACACCTCAACATATATATATGTATATATATAGACATATCATCGTTGAAAGGAGTGAGGGTACTGAAGTCCTTCCTTCCTTTTTCTTTTTTCCTTTTTTCTTTCCTTCTTTTACCTCTCTTTCTTTCTTTTTCTCTCTCTCTCTCTCTTTCGAACGAGAAATGCGTCGTAGTGGATCAGGCACAAGCCTCTTCACCTTTTCATACTTCACCTTATCCTACTTCGCATATCGAATGCCTCGTACGTTGGGAGAGATCCATCGACTAGTATACATTGATGCATAATCCGGTTTACGTTATCGTCAAAGAGAGAGAGGGAGAAAGGATAGTAAAATGGACGTAGGATGGAAGAGGAAAGGGACACAGGGAGAGAAAGAGGGGAAGAAGATATATATATATATAAACGATTCGTACGTTTGCATTCCACGATATGAGGTCGCATGAATATTTGGCCAGTTGCCTCGACATAGAGTCGGAACTGTTCTACATATTCAGAAAATAACATCGGCTGTGTATAGCTAGCTAGCTAGCTAGCTAGCTAGCTCTCTATCTCTCTATCTCTCTATCTCTCCATCTCTCTATCTCTCTATCTCTAACTTCCTTCTTAGAGTTAGATAGAAAGAAACGAAAAGTAACGGGTATCCTCAAAACCGTCGACGGTTTTATCCTTCGAAAAAGGATATTGCCTGCATCACCTGCAGACAGTGCGTAGTATTCTAAAATGGCAAGAGCAACCGAACGACTTTTATTCTTTCTATATTCTTTTCAAAGTGCCAGACGATATGGAATATTGGTATATCCACATTGAATTTAAACGTACCTACTAACTTTTCGAATTCACTCCGCAAGTGTCTGTGTGTGTCTGCCTCTCTCTCTCTCTCTCTCTCTCTTTCTCTCTTTAAATATCGATTGCGAATGAGAGTCAGCCAATCGGGAATCGGTAAAAAAAAAGGAAAGAAAACAAGAAAGAAAGAAAGAAAGGGGGAGAAAAAACCAGAAAAATCAAAAACGAAACTAAAAATTTATATTTAAATTCAATTCGAAGGGAGGAAAAAAAAAGGAAAAAAACTAAAATTACAATTAAAAAATTGTCGTTCCGCACATTAATAACAATTTCATTTACGTTAAAGCATACATCCGTAATGTATTTAACCGAGCTTGATAGACCCCCAATAGACTCGTAACAGGGGTTAATATCTCACCATCTAACGAGACGGAAAAGCGATAACCACAAGACACGCAAGATCTCATTAATCATCGTGGTTGCTCGTCCGAGTAAAACACTTTTGTTCCTTGCATGCATTTTCCACCCATAATCTCATCCTCGCTACGGGGTCACATGGATTGTAGATGGGTAGATAGGTAGGTATATATATACATATATATAGACACCAACAATATACATTAATATATACCTTGTCACGTGAAAAACTTTAAGAATGAAGGTATCTATATACTTTTCCATGATCTCTTAGCTTTTTTCCCTTCCCTCCTCCTTTCTTCTCCTCCCTCTTCTATATACCAATGGTAGTCTCTTGACACGGTGTACCATTACCTACTCTTTTGTCTTATCTCGTTATTTTCTTCTTCGCCTTCTACTTACTTTTTTTCCAACCGAGTTTCACCGAGCTCATCTCTTTCAGTAAGAAAAATCTTACGAGGGCTCTCTATTTTTTGACTGTTTTCTATACTCCTCCTTCTCCTTCTTCTTCTTCTTCTTCTTCTTCTGTTTCTTTTTCTTCTTCCTTTTAGAAAGTCTAAAATCATGCACAGAGATCCACAGCAATTTCACAAATTTTAATCAGAAGATTTGAAGATTCCCTAAGATGACTCTGTCGGCTATTTCTTGAAGGGAAAAAAGAGGGAAAGAGAGGATGTGAAAGAGATAGACAGTGATGAAGGAAGGAAGGAAGGAAGAGAGAGAGAGAGAGAGAGATCTAGAGAACTAGAGAAATGTATATAGATATATAGACAGAATGACTACCGTCGTTTGGTATGCACCTCGCTAATGGATTGCTAGGCGAGAAGGGTTGCCGACTAATCACAATTTGTCGCCGTTTCGGTAGCAGTATAGCACGTTGCTCCGACCCCCATCATCCTATTTGGCTATCTCTCTCTCTCTCTCTCTTCCTCCCTTCCTCTCTCTCTCTCTCTCTCTCTCTCTCTGGTACTCTTCAACGACCCACAGATAGATTGCTTTTGAATACTGTCATCGACATTGCGAGAAATCGACAAGTGCTGAAAATCCGATTGGAATGGGACTGATTCATGGGAAACGTTCACGTTTTGCAAATCGAAAAGCACGAGCGTCGATAACGACCCGTTCTAATTTACGCTAAATTAGCTTCGTCGAAAATCTTCTCTCTCTTTTATCATGAACACGATGCAATGCAACGCGATGCAATGCAATGCAATGCAATGCAATGCAATGCAATGCAATGCAATGCAACGTAACGCAACGCGTCGTCGAAAAGGATTTTTCATTGAAATTCATTTATTTGATCGTACGCAATTTTTTACCTCGTTAATTTTTTTCTTTCATATCGCATAGAAAATATTTCGAGATTTTAATTTTTGTTTTATTAAACGTTTATAAATCAAGTATACCTAATTTTTTCTTTCTCTTTTTGTTTTATTTTTTTTTTTTTTTCTTTCAGTAACATTTCTATCTTTTCTCTCTCTCTATCTCTCTCTCTCTCTCTCTCTCTCTCTCTTTCTCCATTTATTTATAAATCACAAAAATTAAAACGCATTGTCGAATTTAAGTAGAACAGAAATCTACGATTTTATGAGAAAAAGGTCGATATTCTTTCCTTTCTTTTCTATCCAAGGCCATTCGAATCACAAAAGCACGTTTTCTACTTTCTCAATTCTTCACTTCCCCTTTCTTCCGACAGACATTCTTCGGTGCCTTCCGTGTGTCTTTTCCATTTCGATGCCATAAAATAGCTATTTTCGTTCCCTATTTTCTTTATCCTTCCTTATTTTCTATCGATACGAAAGTGAGAAAAGGAAGAAATCTCGACTGTTATCGATGAAATCGTAATGGCTTTTCGATTTTATTTTCTCCCAATCGCGTTAGAATTTTCCCCCATAGTACAGGTAATTTGCATAATACGAGTAACTCCAATCATAACTATCTACGTACGTAGATGTACACGTCCAACAATAAGTCGATATAAAAAAGAAAAAACAAATTTGTAAATTTATTCTATAATATACGAGTGTGTTATCAATATTATATAAATTTCACGTACAAGGATTATTTTAATATTAATATCATTAATGAATCAATCTCTATATATCAATGTATTAATACGAACTGGACATTTACCTTATTTTCGTTATGTATTTATACATATTATATATATATATATATATATATATATATATATATATATATATATGTATATGTATATATATTTCATTCATAAATAACACATAATTATGATAGAAAGAGAGACAAAGAAAGAAAAGGGGATGAGTACAATTGCAAGAATGCACTTCGTTCATGTCAGACACTGCAAGAAGATGGATTTCTCTGTCTCCATTTTTTCCTTCTGTTTTTCATTCTCTCTCTCTCTCTCTCTCTCTCTTTCTTTTTTCTTTTTTCCTTTATATTCCTTTCTCTTTTCCAAGGGTCTAAATTCGATTCAAGAAAATGATAATGCATAGAAATGATCGATTGTTAAGTTCTAACATTGAATCGAGCATACGTCAAGTAAAAAGGCGTTTTTAATCTCATCAGTGTTTTCGCGTCGTTCCATCTGTTTTTATCTTCTGTTCTCTTTCTTCTTATTCTTCTTCTTCTTCCTTTCTTTCGGTTCTTCTTTTTTAGGATTTTTTTTTTTTTATTTTTATTTCCTTTTTTTCGGCGTTCCTCCATCCTTTCCATTTGTCACCGTTCCCATAATAGATAAATTCTTCTTCTTTTTTTTTTTTTCTTTTTTTTTTTTTTTTTTTTTAGTCGAGCTAAAACAAACGACATCATTCGTTTTACGAGTTTTTAGTTTCTTCTTCTCGTTAAATTCTTTCTCTTCTTACCTTCATTATATCCTTGGAACTTTCGCAAACGAGAGATACCATCGAGTTTAAGAAAGGAAAAGGAAAAAAAGAAGAAGAAGAAGAAGAAAAAAAAAGAAAGAGGTAAAGAAAAGAATAGAATAGAAAAAAGGACGAATAATTAATTAAAATAGGTTAATTGAAAACTCGAAGGATCGTCCTCTTATCGATCAAGATAAATAGAATTTATAATTAATCGATATAACTTGGGAAAATTATAATAAGAGAAAAAAAAAAAGAAAAGAAAAGGGGAGAGGATACAGGATAAAGGAAATTCGTTCTATAACTTATACATTTATTTATTCAATTTCCCCACCCCCTCGCAGATTCTATAAACTTCATGCGATCCTAAATTTATTCACCATTCCTTACGACTGATTCGAAGGAAATAAGAAGTTTAACGTTTCTTTTGAAAAATTTCTTCTACCGTTGATAACCAACGACACAATTAATCGACCGAACGAAAACTAGCGTGAAACGAGCTTGGAAAACCGCGATATTCGAAAGAAAGATCGTTAGAAAGTAGAAATAAAGAAAGAAAGAAAGAAAGAAAGAGAATTGGTTGGAAAGAAAAATAGTGTTGAAGAGAGAACGAGAGAGAGATATCTTGCAAGAACATAGTAGAACGAGAAATAGAGAGAGAGTGAGAGAGAGAGAGAGAGAATGAGAAGAGGTCCGAATGAGAAAAGTAAAAAAAAGATCAAAATGAGTTCGAAAGAAGAGAGAAAACTTGCTCTTGATTAATGCGTCAAACAAAGAAGACTGACTTACCTAAGAAAACCTGGTGTTTACGTGTAGAAGAGGTATCTTCATCTCTCTCTTTCCCTCTGTTTTCCCTGTGCGCGTGTTTGTGTGCGTGTGTGTGTGTGTGTGTGTGTGTGAGTGTGTATGTGAGTGTATGTTGGTAACATACTGCAGAACTCGACTTAACTTCAACGCGAAAGAATATCTAATTACGTACGAAGATTATTTTTCTTCTTTCCCTCTGTCTCTCTCTCTCTCTCTCTCTCTCTCTCTCTCTCTCTCTCTCTCTGTCTTTCTCTGTTCCTTTTTTTTCCTCCCTTCTTCTTCTTCTTTCTTTTTTTTTTTCTTTTTTTTTTTTTTTTTTTTTTCTTTTTTATTTCACCTAACAAAAAGAGATAAAGGGAAAGAAAGAAAAAAAAAACCGAAAAAAGAAGAAGAAACAAAGGAAAAAAAAGAAAAAAAAGAAGAAAAGTAAAACGCGTTTTATCATTTCGTATGTTCTTGAATATAGGAAATGGTTACCCTTTCAAAAACTCATTCCTTGTTTACTGGCCAAGCTTTTACGGTATAGCTTAGCATCGATCGGAGTTCTCTCATTAATATCTTTCTCCTTGGATACCGTGGAATAGTTCGAAACATTTTTGCAATTTCGCAAAAAGGAACTTTGAGAAAGATGGAGATCGTAAAACCACGTTTATAAACTTCCGTCCGTGTAACGAAACGAACTCCATTATTCAACATTAATGTCTATTTCTCTCTCTCTCTCTCTCTCTCTCTCTCTCTCTCTCTTTTTTCTTGTATAGAAAAATTATAATTTATATGAAGATAT